AGGAAGGAGTGCAGCAGAAAGAGACCTAGGGGTCATCCTGGACCACAAGCTAAATATGAGTCAGCAGTGTGACACTGTTGCAGAATGAGCAAACATGAATCTGGGATGCATTAACAGAAGTGCTATGAGCAAGACATGAGGAGTCAATCTTCCGCTCTACTCTGCACTGATTAGGTCTCAATTGGAGTATTGTGTCCAGTTCTGGGCACCACATTTCAAGAAAGATATGGAGCAATTGGAGAAGGTCCAGAGAAGAGCAGCAAAAAATGATTAAAGGTCTAGAAAACATGACTTATGAGGGAAGACTGAAAAAATTGGGCTTGTTTAGTTTAGAAGAGAGAAGACTGAGAGGGGATACGATAACAGTTTTCAAGTATCTGAAAGGGTGTAGGGAGGAAGAGGGAGAGAAGTTGAGGACAAGAAGTAATGGGCTTAAACTGCAGCAAGGGATGTTTAGGCTGGACATTAGGAGAAACGTCCTAACTGTCTGGGTGATTAAACACTGGAATAAATTGCATAGGGAGGTTGTGGAATCTCCATCACTGGAGATATTTAAGAGCAGGTTGGATAGACATCCATCAGGGATGATCTAGACGCTGCTTGGTCCTGCTGTGAAGGCAGGGGACTGGACTCAATGACTTCCCAAGATCCCTTCCAGTTCTAGTGTTCTATGATACTTCTCCCACTTACACTCAGCAGCCCTCCAAAGTTGACACCTAGGCTGGCTCCTTCTCAGCAATTTACCTGCCTCTCCCATAGCTCCTCTATTCCCCGCCACAGCCTCCTTCCTCTCCCTCCCCCCGGCCGCCACCAGTCTTTGCTCTGCTTCTGAAGGGTGTCAGGAATATGATTCTCTATTGTAGTTTAAATTATTACTCAGAGTTCTTGTATTAATAATAACTAGTCAGAAATCTATTGTGTCAAAAAATGTTTCCTAAATCTTTTTTGTGGTCTGTATTGTTACACACATGCTTACTTACAGGTATTTTGATATAAATGACCAATCATAATTGAAACTAGTGTGATTATTTTGTGTTATTTTGACAAACGAAATATGCAGGATTTCAAAATATTGTTCTTTGGTACAGAATTCCACAAGTACCTTTTTGCTAGTGAGTGCAACCTCAGCTTTCTGGCTCCCCTTCTCCTCCTCATCTTGATGCCCTCTAAACCACTACCTGTAGGTCCCACAACGAAAGAGCTGCTCTGAAAGAGAATTGATAGTATGCTATTCTGCACATTAACTCTTGATCCTAATGTTTAGCCAATTGCTATTACAGTGCTAACAGATGAAGAGTAACTGATTAAAAACATTAACCGATGCCTGAATTTGGGTCTCTACACATAATCCAAACATTCTTACATACAAGAAAATTTCATTAAAAATAGCTGAGTTTTCTGATAAAAAAATAGGTAGAAGGCCAAAAAACACAGAAGGCCAATTAAAAGCCAGTATGTTTGCATTGCAAATTATGGCAAAACATTGCCAGAAATACAAATTTGTTAGTCAATGCTGGGCCTGGGTCCACGAATAATAAAACATCACATATGTCAGCAAGTTTCAAGCTGCAACATGTTACTGTACCATGTACCAAAGTCAACAGTCCTCTTAAGACTATTGCTATCTTGATGCAAACATCAACTTGCATCCTGTATAATTCAGCTATTACACCCACTCCACCTTATCAAGTAAATAAACTTTTAAACTAAACCAAAATATATTAAGCCAGTTGACAAAGGCAATAGTTAAGTCAAATATACAAGTGCTCTCTACCTAACCATCATTAGTTGTTCTCTACCTCAGTGAAGTAAAAGGAGGATGGTACAGCAAATATCTATAAAGAACAATAAGTGAACTCAACTCTCTTTATTGCTAAGTAAACATGTCACCTTCCCATTATTTTTTTTCCTGCCAAGTGTCATTACAGAATATTATGAAACAAACAAAAAAGTATATGGAAGAGAGGTGAGAAGGAATGTGTACTACCAAAGAGCAAGCAATCTGGTACCTACACAGAACGAACTCTCAGGAAAAAAAGTCACTTCAAAATATAACAGTTGCTCCGTCCTCTGTGGATCATGAGCTACCATCTTGTTAGTCTTTAAAGTGCTACATAGTCCTGTATTTTGTTTCAAAAAACCTCAGAGTTTTGATTTTTCTTTAATGTATATTCTATCTAGGTCAATATTGAAGGGTGCAGGAGAAAAAAAAATTTAAAAAGTTGATTTTATTTAGTGTTCAGCCCTCTCCCCTCCTGCACTCACCAAACTCTCCATTTGTCAGACACACGTTCCCACTTACCTTTAACCTCCCTCCAAACCCACAGCTGACTTCTCTAATCCCACCTTTTAATCCTCAAAAATGCTAGACATTTTAACTGCCTTCCATTACTTAATTAATTATGAATGTCACTTTCTCCAAAACCTGCTAATGCTGCTTCCATCAGTCAGTCATACCAGAACTCCTCTTTCACACCCAGCTTTAAGTGCTTTCTTCCTTTCTAGATAAGACAAGATGGCCCCAAAGGAGGCCCAAAACTCCAAAAGCCATTGTAACTAGTTTGGCCGACTCAGGCCTTTCCAATTTTCACAGTCTTGTTCATTTCTCCTCATCTTTCTCGTACAGAAAGGATGTGGGAGTCAATATTTATGACCAAGCTACTTAAAAGACGTTGGACAATAAAGGTCATAAGACAGTGGTATCGCCCCTCTCCTAAACTGAACTGGAAGCTCAAAAAGTGTGCTCCCGAAAACAAAAAACATCAGCTTCTGATTTATATCACACAAGCCAGAAGTGGAAATCCAATAATTACCTTTGAGTTTTATATTCTACAAGTTTTATGTACATTTAACTGATCCCTATGATCTTTTCCACATGTCAAAACAGTTGTCAGTTGAGTTTAAGTCCCCCTCTTTTTAATGAGTGAAATAATTCTAGTGACTAATAGCAACAATTAGCAGTACCAAGCATGATCATCTAGCATTTCTTCCCTGACCAATGTCGGCTTTTGTCTTACCATAACCCCTCTGTTCCTCTCATAGATGTTATGTCTTCAGAAACTCTGCTTCCCAAGCCACGGCCGCTTCCTCATTCAAAGCCTTACATCCCTCAGTCCATGTAGCCTACTAATTAAAATAGAACCAGCAAGTTTTTCCAATCTAATATGATGCCATCTTACTCACTCAGTGAGGGTATGTCTACACTACAACGTTAATTCGAACTAACTTAGTTCGAATTAGTTAATTCGAACTAAGCTAATTCGAACTAACGCGTCTAGAACTAAAAACTAGTTCGAATTAGCGTTTTGCTAATTCGAACTAGCAAGTCCACATTGAGTGGACCCTGAACAGGGCTTAAGGATGGCCGGAAGCAGTGCCGGCAGGGCATCAGAGGAGGACTTAGAGCGTGGAGATGCTTTCTCAGGCTAGCCGAGGGCTGCGCTTAAAGGGTCCCGACCCCCACCCCGGACAGACAGTTCTCAGGGGTTCCCCGCTTACAAACCAGTCCTGGCTTGGAGTGCCCGAAGTACCCACACTGGGCACATCACAGCACTCGGCCATCAGACCGGCTGCACTTGCCGCAGGCTGCCATCTGGGGAGAGGGGGCAATCGGGGGGCTGCAGGAGAGCTTCCACCCCCAGAAGCCCGCAGAGCCAGCCCAGTCCTCCCCATCGGGGGCTCGTGCCCCATTCCTCCCTCACCTCCTTCCACTTACCCTTCCCTAGCCCCCCTTCTTATTGATGTACAAAATAAAGATAACGTTTCTTCCAACATTGACTCTGTCTTTATTGAACAAAACTGGGGGAGACTGGGAAAAGGAGGAGGGAGAGGGGAAGAGAAAGGCTGGGAGAGGGGAGGGCAACTAACATGATGAGGGGTTGGGAACAGGTCCCAGATGAAGAGAGGCTACAGAGACTGGGACTGTTCAGCTTAGAAAAGAGGAGACGGAGGGGGGACAGGACAGAGGTCTCTAAAAGCAGGGGTTGGGTGGAGAGGGTGCATTCAGAAAAGTTCTTCCTGAGTTCCCATAAAGAAGGACTAGAGGACACCAAAGGAAAGGAATGGGTAGCAGGCTTGAAACTAGTAAGAGAAAGTTCCTCTTCCCAAAGCAAATAGTTAACCTGTGGAACTCCTTGCTGCAGGAGGCTGTGAAGGCTACAACTAGAACAGAGTTTAAAGGGAAGTGAGATCAAGTCATGGAGGTTGGGTCCATGGAGTAGTCTTAGCCAGGGGGTAGGAATGGTGTCCCTGCCCAAAGTTTGTGGAAGGCTGGAGAGGGATGGCAGGAGACAAATGGCTTGGTCACTGTCTTCGGTCCATCCCCTCCAGGGTCCCTAGGGTTGGCCGCTGTCGGCAGACAGGCTATTGGGCTAGATGGACCTTTGGTCTGACCCAGGACGGCCATTGTAAGCTCAGGGCTCAGGGTCGGGGGTCTCAGTGGACCCCCTTGATTTTCATGCACACCTGCTCCTGGGTGGCCAGGCTGGCAGCTCTCCTGCCCTAGCCGGCCACTTTCCTGTGCCTAGTGCGGAGATCGTGGACGAGGTCCACGATGTCCGCACTAGCCCAGGAAGGTGCCCGCCTCTTGCGGTCCAGGGCAAGCTCCCGGGAGCCGCCAGCCTGGTCCCGGGAAGAGGGGGTGGGCTGGGGGACATCGGGTGGGTGGCTCTGTGCCATGCCAGGTGCAGGGTCTGCTGGCTGGGTGCTGGCAGGCTTGCACCTGGCCCGGGCACCGTAGCCAGCCCGTGCCCCTTTAAGGGGTCCGGGGCTGGGAGGGGGGCATAGAGTTTCCCTGGTGTTGGCCAGGGTGGCCACCAGGGAAACCTGGGGAGGGCTAGCCTCCAACTAGTTCGAATTAAGGGGCTACACACCCCTTAATTCGAACTAGTAAGTTCGAACTAGGTTTAATCCTCGTAAAATGAGGTTTTCCTAGTTCGAACTAAGCGCTCCGCTAGTTCGATTCAAATTCGAACTAGCGGAGCGCTAGTGTAGCGGCTATGAATGTTAGTTCGAACTAACGGACGTTAGTTCGAACTAACGTAGTGTAGACATACCCTGAGTGTGCACTGTGCTCAGTGCATCCTTCAGTTATTCATCAGATTGTCTCTGATTTTATATTTTAAAGCTTCTCTAAATAGCATAAATATAAAAACATGGTAGCTATGAAGAAATTTCATTCACTACACTTCAGTTTTGCAAAATATTGTGATTCTCATTTTAATTGCCTCTAATTACATTCACACAAGGAAGCAACAAAAAGGTTGCACAGAAATCTTTACTTTTAGTGTTTCCTAACTTTGACCTCACAACCATAACATTCAGTCAGCACAGTTCTGTATCCAATTCCCGTAAGGTTTTTAAACAGTATTATGTTTCACAGTAGTATGTATGGTCACAATATAAAGCTAATTCATGCGTTACGCAGTACCATGAACAATGCCAAATAGAAACCTAAGAAAAACATTTCAGAAACAAGGGGGAGAAAAAAAAAGGGAACATTTCTGGAGGAGGGACTTTAAAGGAGATAGTTTACATTAGGAGGAATGGCTCACATTCCTGCATCATTTTCTAGCAAACAAGCTTGGGGAACTACATGGAATACCAAGTTGAAAGCCTGAGGCGAGAGCATGGTAAGGAACAAAGTAATGAGGCAGCTGGACAGGTCATGGAAAATGAACCTTTTTAAAGGAAACTTAGCTTCTCCCCACCCCATTCAACATTCTATTCCTCCCTCCTTGCAGGGTGGCTTCATTCACTCAGCCATCTTCTCAAGAAGCCAAAACATGCCTAGACTATTGTGACCTGAAATATTAGAGCTAGCCAGTGTTTTCTGATTATTTTACTTATGGAACTTTTAAAGCTATCATTAGAGCTCAAATATTTAATACTAGCCCTTCAAATAATTTCTACATACGCATATACGCTCCCACATGAGAATATTAGCTTGAACAGAAAACAGAGCATCAGCAAACAAAAAGTAGCATTTCTTTTACAAAGACAAAAAGGTTGGACCTCTGTACACAGTGCTAGGACTCGATCAATTATTACTGAAATTTTGAATAAAGGGGTGAAAGTTTCAGTAATTTTGACAAATATTAGTTTTCAAAACAAAGTTATGTTATTACATAACTCAAACATGATCTTGAAGAGTAAAAAGACAATTGAAAGCTACAGGTAATCATTTCTTCTGAAATAAAAATTAAGTTAAATCTCAAGTTTTCTCACTACCCAGGGAATGCAATCTCTAAAGCCCTGCCATAGTTTGTTTTGAATGGTAGCTTCAAACTGACCAAGAAAAGCAGCGTCTCATTGAAACCTCGGCAAATTAAGTTTAGTGTACTATGGTTAAATGAAAGATATACAAATCAACAGACTGATATTCTAAATAATAGGAAACTTTAAATCTCCATTATTCCCAAAATCCAGGTTCATGATTCTAAGAGTCCTTTTCATTAGCAATCATTTTAGTCTTTTTAAAGGGTTTTGAGAAGTTGAGCGTAGGCAGCCGGAACTGAGGAATTATACTGCATGCAACACTGAGAAAATAGATAAAGAAGTGGATAGCATAGTTCATGCAGCGAAAGAAAACAGATGCAGGTCTGCGCTGATTGCCATGAGCATACACATAAGATGACACTGACCTGGTGGCAGCTGGAGTAAGAGAGTTATTTCCATTTCGTTCACTTGAATCTTTGGTGTCCTCTTTAACTCTTTTTCTGTCCCTTTCAGCTTCAACCACTTGCTGTGTTGCTGGAAGGGGAGTGATATTCATTGGTGCTTCCACAAGAACGTATTTTCTTTGAGGGCCATCGCTTGGCTCCAAGTTCTTGGCACATATCTTTCTTTCTTCCTTATTTTGAGATGAAAAGTGAGTGGTTTCCTTTACTGTAGCATTTTTGCTATCTGCAGATTCAGAAGTCATGTTTACTGGAATCTTCTCCTTCCTTTGTATGCTTTTGGGGATTTTAATTAATTCTAGAGAAGAGAAACAGTTATGTTTATATAAAAAGAAACCCATGTTAGTAATTAAAATAAACCTGTATGTTCATACAGTTACTGACGCGAGCAAGATAGCATCAAATCTATTCAGGTAACAATTTGTTTAATGCTGACCATTCCAAAATCCATAAGGGTATGTTTACACTGCCACCCTAGTTTGAACTCTAACTGCCTCCATACTGATGGAAACATCAGTCAGTGACTTTTTAGAAGCATCTATCTAGAGCCTTGCAGATCGGTGGATATCCAGCTGGGGAGGTTTTGCTTTGTGTTCCCCCACTTGTGGAGATAAGATTAACATATATGCGGAACAAGGCATTCTCAGCTTTTGCTCCCAGGCTGTGGAATTCTCTTCCTAGGGATATTCGCATGGTGCCAACGCTAGCGTCGTTTCGGCATCAGGCTAAAGCCACCCTTTTTATTCGTGCTTTAATTAATGTTTGAGTCTGTATGTGTGTGTTCCTCCTCTCTATATGTTTTTAGCTGGTTATGTCCCTCTGAGGTCTCATTTTAAATTTTCATATTTTAAATTTTTATATATATTTACATTTTTTTTTGTTTGTTCTTGTAAGCCGCCTTGAATATTTTAAATAGGAAGGCGGGGTAAAAATATTCACATAAATAAATAAATAAATAAATAAATATCCCTGGGTAGTGGACCAGGTACCGGTACTCCTCACCCACCCCACTGCGAAGGGGATCAAAAGGGGTGCCAGTGCAGGCCACTGCTCTGCCAACAGGGAAAGGATGAGACAAGCTCCATCCTAAATCTCCGTGCAGGAGGGGCAGAGTGCTGGCCATGCTCCAGGCCCTCCCAGCCTGGTGAGCAATGATCTGTGAAGACCTGGATCCCTGCTGCCTTTTGCCCCTAGTCCCTGCATTAATCCTATTTGCCTCTTCCCTGTATGACCCTGCCCCCTCCTCACCCATCAATGCTCCCTCTCCGTTCCCCTCCAGATGGCTTGCTGTGTGAATTCACATGAAAGCAAAATCCATCTTAAAAATTTCCTGGACTCGTGGTCACTTCAAAGAAGAAATATTTTCAAAACTCAGATTTGCTGCCACATGCTTAACTCCTGTAGCAATTTGTTCTATGTCCGCTCTCATCCTTTTACCATTGTTGATTTGAAGATTCTCACTAGGTCCCAGATTTGTTGGGTTTTCCACATTTTCTCAGCCAATGTATCACCTGAAAGCATCCCTCTTGCCTATGCCTCAGCTTCTTACTGCCTGAAAGGCTATCAAAAGCCTTAATTTATTGTCCATATAAAAAAAGAACTTGCATTATATGTGTTTTCCATCAGTGCACTGTAATTTTACAAGGCACTTTGGTACAGTTGGTATGAAAAATGTTCCAAATATTTTGTATTATGACTCAAATTCTATTACATTTTCAAGAGACGCAAACTCAGGATTCACTCTTGACAGGCTTCAGCAGAAAACCTGTTCTGTTCCTTTCAAAACCCTATTTGAACTTCCACAAGTGGTAACAATGGTGCAGTGCTCCCATCCTTCCCTCTAATCTAATCCTTCAGGGTGCGTCTAGATTGGCAAGATTTTGCGCAAAAGCACCTGCTTTTGCGCAAAAACTTGCTAGCTGTCTACACTGGCCGCTTGAATTTGCACAAGAGCACTGATGTTCTAATGTAACAATTCAGTGTTTCTTGTGCAAATATTTTGACGCTCCCGCTCAGGGATAAGCCCTCTTGCGCAAGAATACTTGCGCAAGAGGGCCGGTGTAGATAGGCACCTTAATTTTTTGCGCAAGAAAGCCCGATGGCTAAAATGGCCATCGGAGCTTCCCTGCACAAAAGCGCGTCTATACTGAGCACGGATGCTTTTGCGCAAAAGCATCCGTGCCAATCTAGATGCTCTTTTGCAGAAATACTTTTAACAGAAAAACTTTTCCGTTAAAAGTATTTCCGCAAAATCATGCCAGTCTAGACAAAGCCTCGGTGTACACCTCATCTGCTCCAACAAACGCACTGAAAGATTGAAACTGTCCCAAGACAAATTAAAAGGAAAACAAAAACTGAGGTGTACAGAGATCAGAATACCTGATAACTTGAAGCTAATGGAAATTTAGAAATCATAACCATTCTCTCTGGCACTGAACTAGGCTTTGCTCCACTGCTGGAACAAAACAACAGTTCAGCTATACAAAACCTTTTTAGCTGTAAAACATTCTTTCAGACAACTGAAAATACAAAGTATTACAAACATTGCCTGCTCAAGACACCGAGCTTTCAGCTTCTTTCCTGCTAGTACCAGAGATAGAATCCACAGAGAAAAGCCAGCAAAGACTCCTTCAAATTCCCATTGTAGGTTAAAAATGTCAGCTAAACAATTAGCTGTACACACAAGCTCTGTAGAGGCCATGCAGTATAATCTGAAAGGCTTCCCTGGGAGGCAGACAATTTACTCACAGTAAGGAAGTACTGTGGCATTCTGAATGCTGACTTCTCCCTAAGTTGAACAATAATCGGGAAAAAGTCAAGGCTAGAAGTATGAACAGGCACTGACAAGACAGCCTTGTCAGACCAAACCAGAACGTAGTCCTTTCTAGAAAGGTTTTATGAATTCAAGAGAGATTCAGGCTGACCACAATTTTTTAGTGAAGAAGAAATGTTTTGTTTACCTACTGTGCCATATAGAGTACAAGAGAGGACATATAGAAAGGAAGGAGTTCAACAGTTAAACCCATTCAGTGAACAGCACTTTTGATTTTGTACTCATTGGCTAGATCTATACAGCCTGGGTCAATGGAACCAGGGTCAGGGTAGTACTCTAAAATTAGCAGCATAAACAGCTCTTTGAAGCTATGGCTCAGGCTGCAGAGTAGATTCCAAAGAGTAGGGAGATGAGGGCTCCAACGCAAAATTTGTCTTTAAAAGCTGGAATAACAATGGGCAAAGTTAGGGTGCTAGACCACTGCTCTCTATACCTGGCTAAGGCAGATTCTCTCTGAGGAAGGAGAAAATTAGGTGGTCAGCCCTCACTTTCAAAGACAACTTTAAGTTGCTGCAGAGATCTCCTCAGAGTAATACGCAGGCCAAGTGTCTTGGACTGGTAAAAGTTTCATCATCCAAAATTTCCACCCTGCTTCACATGGTCCATTTACTATTTGCTGTGAATTTCCATGTTTTAATTTCAGAATCCTAAAGCACATGCATAACTATAAACATACAGGCTACGTCTACACTAGCCCGAAGGGGCATGCTAATTTTGAACTTGGGAAGAGGGAAATCCGCGGGGGATTTAAATATCCCCCGTGGGATTTAAATAAACATGGCCGCTGCTTTTTTTCTGGCTTGGGGAAAAGCCGGAAAAAAGCATCTAGACTGGCGCGATCCTCCGGAATAAAGCCCTTTCCCGGAGGATCTCTTATTCCTACTTCAAAGTAGGAATACTTTCCCCCAAGCCGGAAAAAAAGCGGCAGCCATGTTTATTTAAATCCCCCGCGGATTTCCCTATTCCCAAGTTCAAAATTAGCATGCCCCTTCCGAAGAAGGGGCCAGTGTAGACGTAGCCACACAGATTTCAGACATGTAAAACTGAGTCAATATACTAATTCAGTAGTTTCATTTCAATAAAGCAATGTTTTAAAAATATCACTTCTGTTTAGCAACTTACAGGTTGTGAAATAAAACAAGTGATTTAACATCTGGCTAAACTGTTTATGGTCAGGTTGAAGGCACATTTTTAGCTGACTGAAAATTCATGTCTTAACAAGCTAGTCATAACAAAAGAGGCTCAGATATTTTTTTTGTTCAACTGTATTAATGATCAAAATAGTTACCTTCAGGTTCGTATTTCATTTTCAGCTCATCTAACATAACTCTCAAGTTCATGTTCTCACTTTGGCAAACCTGCAGGTGCCTCTCATTGGCAAAAAGCTTCCTTTCTACCTCCAGAACCCTCTGGCTCTCATACAAAGCTTTCATCCTCTGTAAGGATAATTCTCCTCTCAAAGTTTCGGTCTCCTTACTGGGAAGGAAAAGGAATTAACCAGTTTGAAATTCACAAGGGTCAAATTAGGTAATAATTGACAATAAGCTTTGAAGATGAATTGATTTCGTTGTTGAGCATCTCCCACTCTTCCCTCCTCCCCCCAGAACTAACAGCAGCAATTGGAAATCCAAATGCTCTTAGAGAGCGAGGAAAAATCTCAACACAGTTTGATTTTCATTTCTACGATAGGAATAATAGTTTAATGGTGGACACAAGGTTCCTGAACATAAATGCCTGTAATTCTAAAGTAAATATTATACATACAAGTTTAAACTAGCAACACCCTCCCCCCAAATAACCATCTGTGCTTAGACAATATAATTTAGTCTTGTATTCAACTTCAGCATCCGTATTTGCAGTGTTTGGACTAAGAGTAACCCTTTTGAGCTAAACACTACAGACTGGGGACAGATCTCTCTGCCTGGTATTAATATTCATAGTTCCGTTGAAGCCTAAGCTTTTCTTCTGTGTATACAGTATGAAAATTGGGTCATTTTAGCAGAAGATTCCACTACTGCTATTCTGTACAACCAAACTTGGACTTCAAACCAGAATGAAGCTCTCAATAATATTAATCTGAAGTAAGTCTAACCATGTAGACTCAGATTGGAGGTGGTAAAGGCATTTTAATGTATAGACAGCCAAGGATAAAAGTAAAGCCAAGACAAGAAAAGCTAAGAAATCCTAGCATAGTAGTAAAAACTAGACAATATCTTTCACAATCACATAAAAAAATGTGGGTTTTAGGTTCCCAGAAAAGAGAAACTAAAGAAAAAAGGTTAAAACAAAAATGAAAATTATGAAAAGATGAAAAATTAGCATTCTAGATGTTAAATCAGGGGCATGCTGAAGCCATAATTTTAGGCTGTAAAGGGATATTTGAGAGCATTGACTATGGGGAGGCACTCTATGCCCATGAGATAAAAGGGCTTCAGTAACATGGAAGGGATCTTTGGCACTATCTAGAACAGAGAAGACTTGAAGATATCTTATTAACACTCTCTCAATACCAAGGAACAGAACCATCACTCTCTGTGTCAGACAGGAAAGTATTGGGGGGGAGGGGGAGATTGTTGACTGTACCAATATGGTTTGCCCTGGTGCATTTAATACAGACTGGGCGACATTAAAGGGCATGGTACTATGAGGTTAGTTCCATAATGACCAAAATTGAAGCACTCTGTGCTCAAGTGATCCAATGATCTGGCCTCTGTATTACTGGTAGCGGTCTCCAAATTTCAAGATTGCATTAGAACAAATTTGTCAGGGACCTAGAGAACAGACATCTCATGCATCTATAATTTATTGGAATTATTGCCTGGCAAAAGCGGGACTACTTAAAGACAGAAGACTTAGGATGGATGATTCCCAAATCCTGGTACTGGGGATGGATGGGAGTTCAGCATAACAAAACAGGAATTATAACTTCAAAATAATAAAAATGATCAGAGCTTTGGCAAACAGGCTGCTATCCTGTCTGTACTCAAAATTAATAGGCACACAACTAACTGTAGTTTAAAAAAGGGATGTGGAAAAATGGACTTGGAGGAGCGCTGAATCTGGGGAGATGGGAGAACTGAAGGGAAGTTGGGTTCCTCTGTCTTTCAGGCTATTGATACAGGACACTGATGACCAAAAGATTCCAGTCTTGAGCACCACATGCACTGAGAATGGAATAAATGTGGACAAACGAAGAAACGGCACAGAACAACACAGCTGTAAATGGACACAGATTACAAGTTTACTGTATTATTTTAAATGATAACCTAAATTACATTTCTTGGTTTGAAAACCCCAAACACTTACTTGAAGTTCTCAAGTTTAATTTGAAGCAAATCTGTATAATAGCCATCTTCAAATTCTCCACCTCTTGAACTGCTACTAGAAGGTTTTGATTCTTCCATATTCTCATATAAATTCTAATACAATGGAACAGTTCAAAAATTGTCAAAACCAGTAGTTTTTAAAAAACACACTTTCTATTTTATTTACAGTTTTTGCTGATTTGTCAATTTTTTCAATACAGCTGCTGCAGACAAAGCTACTGCTAGGTACAGGCAGTTCCCGGGTTACATGGATCCGACTTACATTGGATCCCTACTTACAAACGGGGTGAGGCAACCCCACACTAGCTGCTTCCCCCCAGCAGACCAGGGAGACCCGGAGCGGCTTTTCTCAGCAGACACCTCAGTTTGAGAATAAAGGACTGAGGGTAGTGAGGTGTGGGAGAATAAAACTGAGCTCTGGAGAAATGTTTGGCTAGAGTTTCCCCTACAATATGTACCTGTTCCGACTTACATACAAATTCAACTTAAGAACAAACCTACAGTCCCTATCTTGTACGTAACCCGGGGACTGCCTGTACTCTTTATAAAGGGATTAACCTTCAGGTTCCAAGAACCTAATTTCTTTTGACTTTTTCATCCAAAATTGTAGAAAAAAGCAGCCTGAACTAAAAAAAACCCCAACACCACCACCAACCACTTCCAGTCTTGAGGAAACACAAAAAGCCTTGATCTTAAATGTACTCCCATTTTCCAGTATAGAATAAGCTACCCTCACATTCAGTCTATTAGTGAAAAACAAAATTTTAGAAGTGTCCTTGTTGCTGAGACCAGAAATATAAACAACTGCCCCCAGATCCTCCTCTTGAACTCTACAAGGGCATCCACTAGTGTCTCAAACTTCTTAGCCCTTATCTTTCTCAAAGCAGGGACCTGCATCCCTATTCCTCCAGATCAGGTATTCAGGGGTGCAACTGCCCAACAGGTTTGACCTTAGTCTAGCCCTTCAAGATCTAGCCATGCACCACTAAATTTGGAAACCAGAACTGGATGCAATAATCTGTTATTGTCTCCACAATGGCAAATACAGAAATAAAAGCTGCACCAGTGACTAGCTAGCCTATACAAATCAAAATACATTTATTTTAAAAGGGGGTAAATGGGGCAAAGAGAGGTGATTTTATTTCTGCATATGGCAATGAGAGACAATAATGGCATACTGCATCCAGTTCTGATTTTCTTTTCTTTTTTACTTTTTAAAATTAATGAGGGAGCTGAGGAGAGCTACAAAGGTCTTTCAAGGACCAGAGAAAATGCCTCACATTCAGTGATTTATAAAGGTCTGCCTGTTTAGCTTAGCAAAAAGGATTGAGAATGATTTGATACAATGTAGAAATACTTTTATGGGGACAAAGATAAAGGGTACCCAAAAGCTCTAATTTAGTGAAAGAGAGATAATAAGAACCAACTAGCTGGATGCCATAGCCAGACAGATTCAAATGAAATCACAGACATTTTTTAAAATAACGAGGGTGCTAAGCTATTTGAAAAACCTACCAAGAGAAGTAGCAGGTACTTTATTTCTTCAAGTCAAGACTAGAAGCCTTTCTGGAAGATATGCTTTAGCCAAACATGTTGCTATGCTCAATACATCTCCAACTGGATGAAATTTAAACAATAGTCTGACTACCTAGATTCCAAAGGCTAAGTTATGATCCCTTGAGCCTTAAAATCCAAGAACAAACTTTTGAGCCATGACTCTTTAGGACTTAAAAGCTGCCCATAATAGTAGTAAAATGGAGACTATTGCCAACCTAAATATGAGAGTTGTGAACACCATTGAGATTATATAGAATTATAAGCAAGATTTTATGCTAAAAGCCTTCTCTCATTTTAAAGAACTGATTTCTCACATGTAGTGGTTAAAGTTGACAGGTTTATTTTGTGAAATACATACCTTAAATTTCTCCAGCTGCCTCACTTTCATTAGAAGTTCTTCTACCTCACCATTTTTTTGTTCTAACATAGACTGCAAGCGTTCTAGCTGCTCAAGTTCTGCTTGAGAACCTTTCATCTGCAGCAGCGTAGCCATTTGTAGCTAAACATCAAGCAAAAACCATACTGACGTTAAGACAAAGAAAACCTGTCAGAATTCATATCCTTATGCAGGTTACTTGGGAAATTGTCCTAACTCAGCAGCTGACATTCACTACAATACTTTTAAAACTGCTTTTCTACTCTTACAAATACAGAAATGGCATTGAGTTATCTCAAATAGCATATTAAATACGCTCTCTTACAATAAAAAAGAGTTTGTAATATTTGCTGGCCCTGTCCAACCTATCCTGGACTAGTTTTGAAGTGTCCTATATGACCTTATTGGGCATTACCTAGTTACATACTCAGTGACTCCTCTGTAAGCCCAGGTACAATTTAATGAACTGTGTTGATTATATACAAGAAAGCTACACAAAAATATAAAGCTGGAAAAAAAGTGTTAGCCTAAAGAAAGAAATCATTTAGTACACAAAGGAAGCAGATCCAAGAAGATACTAGTGTAGTGATTTAACCAGAGCAGTCAAAATTTCGTTTACCACTCACATGTTCAATGAATAAACTTTAATATCTACCACACGCCTTTCTATTAGAAAGCACAGGAATGATTAAAAAAATTCATTTCAGCTGTAGTCAGAAAGAACACTTAACTGTTCTGTTCACTGAACTGACTTGCTTTTGATGTGATTTTCAAAGTACCATACAGACAAAAAAACAAAAAAAACACTACCACACTCCCCACAACTTTCACTGGACGTCTTAGTTATTTTATCAACATCTGCACCATCAAAAAATATCTTCACTACATAACCTATAGAGATGTAAGAGAGTGCAGGCAGTCCCTGGGTTACGTACAAGATAGGGACTGTGACTTGCTTTTGATGTGATTTTCAAAGTACCATACAGACAAAAAAACAAAAAAAACACTACCACACTCCCCACAACTTTCACTGGACGTCTTAGTTATTTTATCAACATCTGCACCATCAAAAAATATCTTCACTACATAACCTATAGAGATGTAAGAGAGTGCAGGCAGTCCCTGGGTTACGTACAAGATAGGGACTGTAGGTTTGTTCTTAAGTTGAATCTGTATGTAAGTCGGAACTGGCGTCCAGATTCAGCCACTGCTGAAAC